CTCCTACAGGTACATTCTTTGACTTTGATATGTCGGTGAATATATTTGTCTTGTGTGAAACACTATTTCGATTTGACAAGTTCTTCTTCCTTCCTAGCTCCCTTTCAAATAATAACAGCAGTTACCAGGTATTTAATATCTTCTGTGTGTCAGATCCTGTCCTAAGCTCTTCACCTGGATTATCTGGTTCTTTCTTGCTGAAGTTCTGATAAACAAGTGCTATGATCCTCACTTTTTAAATGAGGGAACTAAGTTTGAGAGTTTAAGTGACTTGCCCAGTGTCATGCCACTAAGAAATATTTGCCTTGAGATCTTTGTAACTTACTAAGATCTACAAATCTGGAAGTATGGAATACTTCCTAAAAGACTGCCCGCATAGAATCATTGATTCTTTACTCCTAATGCCTGGAGTTTGCTGTTTTCCCTGAGGCGAGTGGGAGCTGTGATGACTCACCCTACCCACCATTCCATCATTTATTGGTGTTATCAATACCTCCAAATTGCCCCATCTGAACTCTGGGCCCAGATACCCAGCGTGTAAGGAGCCAGCTGTGCTGTTTGCTGGATGCACTCTTGATTGCTTCTCTGTTTGGAACCAGTCAGTATAATACTTGGCTGATGACTTTGACTGAGAACTCTGAGTGCCTTTGTTAATTCAGCCCTTGGCAGAGTATTCTAACTGCCCACCCGTGGAATTCCTGGCTCCTAGAAATAATTTAGAATGCCTAGAAAGTGCAAGTTCCACAATAGATAGTGCCATGTGTTGTATTAAAGACCCTCACCCGTAGAACATTAAAATCCATGAACTTTGCTCAAGCTTCCTTCATTCTTTACATACTCAGAAGTAGTAACTAACCACTGAGACTGGACTATGCCCTGCCTCTTATTGTCCAAGCATATTTAATACACATTTATAATGTTAAATGAACATCAGTAAGACGACATATTTCCATGAAATTTTATGAGGTAAATTACTGTGTGAAGTCAGGAGAACACAGTCACAATATGCAATTAAGTGAAAAGAAGTTATAGAGAACCGTAAGTAAAGTAAGTTTCCATTTTTAAAAGTGTGTTTATATACATATGTGCATAGGGGAAAAAACAACTGGAAGCATTTGAAATACTGACTTGTAAGTACTCCGCCGCATAGTTTTCCTAAAGTATTGCGCTCATATTGTTTTCTCTTAAGCATTGCATTTACAATTTAGAATAAAAACAGGCCTCTAAGTTTGTAATTTAGAGCTACTAGTTCTCCAGCTTCTGGATGTTATCTTTCAAATTTATGGTTTGTTATAGTTGAGCTCTACCCTTTTGTGTTTGTTTGTGTCATCAATGTTTTTCCATGTTTTGTAATTCTAAGAAATTCTTTCAATTCTGAAGAGTGAAAAAATCCCAAATAAGAAGCCAGGAGCTTCTTCCAATGTGCTGGAACTGCTCTTGAAACTGATTAATGCTCAGGAAGATGAGCAAGGGATGTGCCTTCTGGCCAAACCACTGACTGGCAAATCCAAAACAATCTCCCGCAACAGACCGCTAAGTCAGGAATAGACCAACCTGGAGTGACAAGGAGCTGGGGGGTATGGGTAGGGCTGGGGACAGGGATGAGTCTAGGCTATGTTTTAAATGTTACAAGTGTATGCAGGCTTCAGGGGGCCAGTCACATACACAGAGGATGAAACAATTTCTATTTCTTCAGATTCAATACCAGACCAACAAGTAACAAAGCTCCAAAAAGTTTTCTTGTGATGAGCTGCACCATTGTACATAATAGCTCTGTCTTTTTTGGAAAAATCTAGACAATCACTGAAATCTTTTAGAAATGCTACATATTGAAATGAATGTATACTTCATATACTTTTACTTTCATATCAGCATATTATTAGTCTATCCAACAAATATTTTTTGAGTACATGCCATGTGCCAGGCTCTGCGCAAAGCAGTGAACAAAATAAACAAGGTCCCTGCCTTCATGGAGCTTATGGTTTAGACCTGCGCTGATCAATAAATATGGCAGTTACTAGACATTTGTGGCTACTGATCACTTAACATGTGGCTAGTCCAAATTGAAATGTCCTATAAGTGTAAAATGAATACTATATTTTAAACACTTGGTATGAAAAATGTTAAATATCTCAACTTTTTATATAGATTACATGTTAGTAGTAATGGTAATAGTTTTGATATATTAAAATTAACTTCACCTGTTTCTCTTCTTTAACGTGACAACTAGAAAATTTTAAATTACATGTTCAATTTATATTTCCATTGGACAACACTTGTCTATGCTAGGAGTTCTCAAAACTCCCTGTGCTCATAATTATATGGGAAGCTTTAAAAATACAGATCCCCAGATTGCATCCCCACAGAGATTCTTATTCTGTCTGGGCTGGGGCTCTGATGCTGGCATTTCTTTTTAAAGTTCCGAAGTGAGACAGTATGCAGCTGTTTCAGGGGCTGTGAGAGACACAGAGTCTATGGAGGCTATGCCCCCGCCACCTGGGAGATTTCCATCTAGTGGCCCTCTGATGGCCATCTTCCCTGTTCCTGGTGGTTTTAAAATATGCCCATAAATTGATACTCCTCTCTTCAGGAGGTGGAGCTTAATTCCCCTCTTCTGTGTGAACAGGACTTAATGGCTGGCTGCTAACAAATAGAACGTGGCAGAAGTGACCATATGGGACTTGAAACTAGGTCTTAAGAGGTATTGTGGCTTCCCCCGCCCTCTCTCCCCCTCTGCCTCTGTCTTCTTCTCTCATTACTTATCCTGGGAGAAGCCAGCAGCCATGCTGTGAGGGTACTCAAGCAGCCCGGCAGAGAGATCCACAGGGCCCTCTGCCAAGAGCCAGTAGAAACCAGGTTTCTGTCTGTATGAACCATCTTGGAGGAATCATTTAATCCTACTCAAACCTTCAGATGACTGCATCCCTGACGGTCATCTTGACTGTGACCTCATGAGAAACTGAGCCAGAACCACCTTGCTAAGTCACTCTCAAATTTTTGGCCGAATAGGCTGAATGAGACAATAAATGTTTCTTGTTTTAAGTTACTAAGTTTTAGGGTCATTTTAATGCAGCAATAAATACCTAACATGTTGTGACACTGGGCCTCCCTGCTCCTCACCATTGCCTCACCTGGGCCATTTGCCAATGGTGAGCTGCCCCAGCAGCTCAGAACCATTTGCGAGAGTGCTGCAAGGCTTTCCCTTTCAAGGTGAGAGTCCAGTGACCACTAACAACCTTGCTGGAGCACCCAGAGAGGCACCTCGGTGCTGGCATCAGTGATCACACAGCCCAGCTGCCTGGGAGCCGCACACCAAGCTGCAGCTTTGATGCCTTGCTGGTGGTTATACAGCACGGCACTTAGTGAAAATATACCAGGACAATTTCCTGTGTCCTTTGACCTTTGCTATGGGCATGAAATTTGGTGTGTCTACCCTCCTCCCCAATCTGTTTTCCCTTTCCTCAGTCCCCATTGTAAAATAAAGTTCACCTTCAAAAACAGGGCTGCTGAGAAACACACACACACATCATGCCCATTTCTACTCTTGACCACAGTCCCCTTTCCCCCAGCCCTTTCTCACTCCTGCCTATGTTCTTAGACCCACAGCTACCCTTGCCTATGGTTATGATCTGACCCCTACTTCAGGAATTATATACACCTCCACCCCCCTCCCCACTTCCCCCAAATAGTCCCACCATCCACATTCCCTGCGTTGCCTGACACAAAGCAATCCTCTGGAGGACAGAGTCCAATGCACACTTCTACACAGGCTTTTCTCCCTGGCAAAAGCAACAAGGAAAGCGGCCTGGTCAACTGTAGAAAGAACTATTGTAGATTTGTGGTCTTGGTCAAGAAATTCTGCTCTACTTGGTTTGGCAATAATAACAACAGTAAAGTAATAATGCTTAACTTCCTTTTTTGACACCATTATTTTATGTTAAATTCCTTCAACTTGAAGGTCTTTTAAGATTTATAAGGTAAGATGTTAGTTTCAACTTACTAGATCTCCCAAGTTGCTCTAAAATGAACACCTAAGTGTCGACATTAATCAACTGCTTCATGCTTTTCTGCAGTGCAAAAATGGAAACAAAGATTACTTTATTCCTAAACTTTTTTTTTCCCTCCATGTTTCTGCCTGGCTTGAACTCAGACTCGTGTTCTATAAAGGAGCGATTAAGTACAGACTTCTGTTTTAATAGGACATATTTAAGGCAGCCGGGACCGTTCCTCCTGCATTAGGTTGAAAGGTCTTAATCAGAAAGAAAAATTGATTTCTTGTATTGACATACGTGCCACTTATTGTTATGAGGAGCTATCCATGTAAGCGTATGACAGTTCAGCCTCGCATGAAGATGCAGGTTCCAACACAAGGATGTCTAACTCCAGGCTGCTTGTGTCTGAGTCTTCCAGTCTGCTATCAAAGGTGAATTCACACTTCTCCCCCCACGAAAACACACACTTTTAAAATGTTCTTCTACCTGGCACCTCCCTCCTACTGTCTTCCACCCCAAACAGATAATCAGTGTATTTCAAAAGGTGCCTTGTTATTGACACAATAACTGGAAGCCCACCAGCTTGCATTTTGTGCTACTAGGCTTCGCTCCTTATAATATAACAAAGGAGAAGCCTACTAATGATGTTTGCTCACCTCGGCTTGTGCTTGTCTAATGTTTAAAAGGGGTTTTGTTATCATTAGACATTCCTGAACAATCGCTCTCTCGGAACATCAAGCACACGGAACGAGAGGTGAGGGTCAGGATGGGGGCGGGGGAGGAGAAAGCAAGGCTTCCTGGTCCAGTCCTCCCTGCTAGTGCAGCGCCATCTAGTGGGGGATTCCAATGCGACGTCAGGAATGAGAAAGCTCAGCGTGGTCCTCAGTACAAGAAAGGGGACCTTATGTCCATCCTCACACGTGACACGCAATCACTGTTCATCTTTTGCGGATTATAAACATTTTGAATTATACACAGCAAATATTTAATCTAATTGTTTAATCTTACATTGTCTCTGACCTGAGGTCTCCGACTCTGGAACTCTCTCTTGATGTGCAGGCAGGGAATGCAAATAATACTGAGATAATCAAAGCAAGCAGTGCCTGGGAAAAGATCACAGAGAGCATTCCAAAGTTAGATGAAATAAAATAAAAATGTTCTAATGTGGCTCTTTGTTATAGTTATATTATCTTTAAAAACTCATTACTGTAAAATAAACTTATACATATAAGTAAATTTTCTAGATAATTGACATTTTAAGTACCATGATATTTAATAATACTATTTTTAGAGGAATACTGAAGAAAATTAAGTGTTTCTTCAAGACTCAGGATTGTTTATCATGAACATCACTTACTATACGAAGTAACCAGTATAATATTTAGGATGGTTTGCCCCACAGGAAATGGCCCCCCACTCCTGTTAAGTTCTTGTGTCCTCTTTTCATGGCTTTTCTTCCCTGCGTCCACAGCAGTTCTACCTTCCTGTAGTATTCTGCTGAACCGCATTTCTTAATTGCTTACTTCTTTGAAACTTAATGGTAGGCAATGATATAGCCAAATTTAGTAGAAGTGCATCTAAATTAAGAGTGAGATCCTCTATGACTCTCTCTTAATTAATGGAATCTGTGACACTTCTGACTGTCTTTTTCCACATTATCCTGAGCTGTCTTATGTTTTCCAGAAAACTGATGTGTCTGAATAAGTCACCTTCAAATAAGTTAAGAGCCAATAGATTTTGGTATAGGATTGGTTAAGGGACATTTACCAAATTAAATATTCACAAGGAAAATATAGAAAAAGTCCAATTCAACTGGTACAACAATCTAAGGAGATAGCATATTAGACGCTCCCAATAGTCCTGTGGTGTCAATGAAATGAAATGTCATGTCAAGGAAATGTTAGTCATTTCATGACTAATTTTGGGGCTATTTCCTTTTTGAAACCAAGTGTTTATAAGTGAGAGCTAACGGGACATTCTTTACTTTCTACTTAGTCTCAGATTCCTTTTGGTGGGACACTGTAGCAGCTACATGTGCTGAGACGATAGATAGTTACTATCTGTGACATTAGAATCCAGTTCAAGAATGGCAAATGGCCCCCTAGAAGATGATAACAGCTGTATGTTGCCCCTACTTATAGGTTAGAACACTGTTACAACACGTTAAGAGACCAAGATTATGCATGTGATTCCTCTTCCCTGGGACAGATCTCATTCTGTGAAGTTTACTGTTTATGCCACTTGGAGAGCTCACTTTAAGAAACAGAACACAACATTACAATTAGGTAAGATGGTAATTAGTTAAGAATATTTTCAAAGAGGTGATAAATACTATAAATATCACAAAATCCAGATTAACAGATTTTTTTTATTAATTTACTGCCTGACACTTCTACAATGTTTTTTACTTTCTCAACCACATACTCTTTGATTGTCTTTTTCTTTTCTTTTTTTCTTCCTTTCTTCCTTTCTTTCTCTTTCTTTCTTTCTCTCTTTAATTTAATGGAGGTACTAGGGATTGAACCCAGGACTTTGTACATGCTAAGCATGCGCTCTACACACAGAACTATTTTCCTTCCCACTAATTGCCTCTTTGAATGACAATTCTGTTGTACAATTTTTTAAAATAAAAACAATGAAGTATACTTCAGTCTTTCCTCTAGCACAGGCTTGGCAAAAATTTAGGAACAATGGGAATAAAGTGAATAGTGAAAATACAGAATCTCTACTGATGGATGAATTTCACCATTTGAAGTGAGTAAACCAAGAGAATATCAGTTAATGTGGGAGGATCTCTTTGGGGTTATTCTGAAAATGATTTTGGTATCTTCAATAAAAGGAGGGAACACAGAACAGTGTTTAAGAGCGTGGACCACTTACAGCTGTGCAACATGGGCAACAATCCTCTGCACTGCAGTTCACTAATATCTCATTCATAAAACTGTCAGGAGGATTAAACAAGAAAGTTAATGTAATACACTTAATATAGGGCTTGTTTCGTTGTTGTTTGCCTTTGCTTCTGAGTTGTTTTGCCTTGAATGTTAACAATAGTACAAAAAACAAAAATAAAAAGCTCCCCAGGTAATGCTGGCCCACAGTCAAGACTGGAAACTACCAGACCACATGTGTACCAAGAATTTAGTTACTTTGATGGGAGATGCCTTGGAGGTGAGGTGAGAGAGAAAGTAGTAGAAAAATTCCTTACATGGGGAAGAAGAAACATGCTCATTTTAAGCCAGGCTTTACTGCCACACAAATGATGGATTTAAAGACTTGTTTAGTCATGCTTCCAAATCTCAAAATAAAGTTTAAAAAAAAAGGTGCTTTAGGTCAACAATATTGAAATCAAGTCAAAAGTATCTGAAAATTGCCAAATTTCTAGTGCTTCAAGGCCAAAGTTTTTTTTTTTTTTTTACTATAAAATGTGTTTTTAAGGTGCCTTGAATGGGACGCAGCACCAGTGTTTTGTTCGCCCCATAGGACGGGCTTGGGTGCCACACAGGCCCATGTCTGGGTCTGAGTTTTGCCTCTCACTCTCCATGTGGAATGACTAGCCTCTCCAAAGTGGTTCACTTTTCTATAAAATAAGATTAATTGGATCTACCACATATCTTTGCTACAAGGCTTGAGTGAAAGTGAATGGCATGCTTCTAGCACAGTTCTGACATATTCCGGCACTTAACAAATGTAAGCTATTATTATCATTATCATTTTTATTATTCTCATTTGGTTGGGAATGTAAAGCTTTTGTTTTGGCTTTTGGTTTTTGGTTTATGAGTTTTACTTCCTCTGAGAGCTGTATCAGGTTCATATATTATCTTGTTGGGCCTTCTCATTTATAACTCAACACTCTGAGGCACTGACAGATTTAAATACCCAGAGTGCTTTACCAAAAGTAGAATGGCAGGTGTGTGTGTGTGTGTGTGTGTGCATGTTCTGATTTCTTGCATTCAACTTATCTTTAAAATGGTACTTATATGTGCAAGTAGCTAGAAAAAATAATGAAAATGGCATAGAAATTTAAAAAATTAATTTTTGGAGCATTTCTCAGAAAAGTTCACTTTGGAAGTGTCCATGTATTTCTACAACATATTCCAAGATGCACCTTATTCACTTGTACTTAGCTTCCTGGTGACTTGAGCCCCTTACAGGTGAAATGGGGATAAGGAGACTGACTTAGTAAGACTTACAGAGTGTCATTCATTCAAGACATTTATTAAGTGCAGCAGTGAATGAGACAGGCATGGTCCCAGCCCTCATGGAGCTTACAGTCTAACAGGAATAGCAGACACTGAGTAGTGTAATGTGTGTTACGAGGGAAGAGTGCAGAGGACAATGGGAGCCTACAACAGGCTACTGTCATGTAGTCTGAGGAAGTAGCATTTGGATTTGTAGGAGTTAAAGGTTATTATGGAAAGAGGATTAGAGAGCAGGGTAAAAATTGGTTGCACAAAGTAATCCAGCCATTATTCATGTATTTATTCAACAAGTAACCAATGAGATGGACAATCCCTTCCTTCATGGAGCTTACATTCTAATATGTATATGAAGCACTCAGCACAATGCCTGGTACAGTAGGCACTTAGTCAAAGGTAAGGCCCTCGTCCGTAAGCCTCATGTACTCACACAGGTTGTCTTTGCTCTCATCAAGTCTTATCTGGGCTATTCCAGCAGCATTTCCCACTTAGCCCATCTGCTACTCAGCCATCAAAGTTATCATCCAAAACCACTTATCATTTAATGCTCTACAGGGCTGTGTCTGTTTTTGGAGCATTTATTGAAGGAAATTTCATTCAGCTGTTCTGCAGAACCCTAAAACTGAGATCAGTTTCTTTGTGGGTTGGTTACTGTTAGCCACACTGCACCCTGTATTTGGAACACCCACTGTGAGGATATAAGTCTTCTGAGCTTTGGGGGGCTGGTGTTACAATAGCAAACCGAGATGTGGTGTTAGCCCTGTCAGAGATGAAAATACATTTCCAACTTGAAATGTCTGGACCAAAGATTTGATAATCACCTATGAGTCAATAAGTTTCCATGTGGGGTGCCAAATGATCGCAACAGATAACCCAGGATCAGGCTGAATCAGTGAGGGTACACAATAAAGAAATAGAGACAATGAGCTTGACATATTGCAAAAGCAATAATGAGTGCCAGATTAATTCCTCCAATCGCTAGACTGCACTCAGCCTATCTCAGAACAGCCCAGAGACTATTACTTAATGTGTACGTTTCTTTTTTACTTACAGTATTCAGTTGCTGGTTCAATGCATAGAAAGTGGATTTTAAAATCAGGTTGCTTCAAAAGTTGGTTTCAGGGGATCTTCCAGAGAAGCATCACCTTGTGCAAGATTTTGTTTCTCATTTCCACCAAATCATTGTTATGCAAAAATTCCCCACGCAACTGAAGTTGTGAGTGTGCGTGTTTTAAAAAAAACAAAACAACCCAGCATAGCCTTTGAAAATCGTATTCACTTAAATATCTAATTTTAAAAATATAGTCCTTTTCTTTTTGCTTGTTATTATTATAGTAGTTGAAAATATTATTTGAGGGCAAGGAAAAATGAAGCTTAAAAAAACAGAGTTCTTCAAATCTCCAAATTCTTCATTGAATGACCTGTGATATATCTTTGGCAAATACAACATTTAGAAAAAGAACAGTTTTTTTTTTCCTTCTGTCTCTGTTAGGATTATACTGGTTGCACGTGACAGAAAATAAAAATGAAGTTAGTCTAAACAAACAAAAATGTATTTACTCACATAATTAAAGTATCCAAATTGAGCCAAGAGTCATATTTCTTCCTCTTTTTTTCTCCTTTCTCAGAGCCCAGGTAATAAGAATAAGGTTACCAACAGCTTCTGGACTACGTCTTTCTGGCTGCTAATTCAGAAGGAAAGAGCAAATGTTTTTCTCCCTGCATTCTTAGCATATTTTCTATGATTTGTTCTGATTGAACCAACATGGGTCACATGACGGCCCTTGAATCAATCTCTGTGGTCAGGGAAATGCTGTATGGTGACTGGTTCACGGCAGAGTCATGCGCTTCACTCCTGGGACTGTAGAACCCTATGCGGGCAACCTGGGAAGAAAACGGGAGGAGAA